GGCCGGCCCCTGTATTACTTATTTATTCCTACATAACAAATTACCTCAAAGCTTAGCAGCATGAACAGCAAACATTTATTATCTCACAGTTTCTGTGGATCAGGAATTTAGATGTGGCTTAGCTGTGTACCTCTGGCTCACAGTCTCTCATGAGCTTGCAGTCACACTGTTGGCTGGGGTGAGGACACATCTGACAGTTTGATTGGGGGAAGATCTGCTTCTCAGCTTGCTCACACGGTTACAGGCAAGATTGAGTTCTTCACAGGTTGTTGGACTGAGGGTCTCAGTTCCTCACAGGCTGTGGCTGGAAGCCTCCCTCACATCCTCACACAAGTAATTCTCCACAGGACAGCTCACAACATGGCAGCTGGCTTCCTTCAGAGCAAGTGAGCAAGAAAGTAAGAGAACAGCCAAAGATGGAAGCCACAGTCTTTTGTAAACTAATCTAGAAGTGGCAGTCCTATTTGTCATATTCTATTCATTAGAAGTGAATCTCTAGGTCCAGCCCACATTCAAGGGGAAGTGATTACACAACCCTAGGAGGCAGGGATTACTGGGGGCCATCTTAGAGGCTGCTTACCACTGATGTTCCTCTAGCCCACCTTATTTTTGGTTATCCTATTTCAACTCTTTTATTTTGTTTCTTAGTGCTATGAATCAGGTAAGTTTTAGAACTCTGGGTTTGGTGTTCTTCTCAGGCCAAGTGAACATAGATGTTCCATGTTCCATGTTTCATAGATGATGGAAATCGTGAGAATGAATATATGAAACCTGTAGTAGATCCAAGTTGTATAGTCATCTAAAAAGTAAGAAGTATAGCCTTTCTTCAGTTATCTAGCGCTGTGTTATGGTATGTATACTTTCCTAGTTAATCTTTTATAGGATTTGCTGGTTTTTAAAATTCCATCTGATACTGCTCTGTCAAGTAAAATATCTTTGGATAAGTGAAGTGGCCCATTAGCAAAATTGAATGAAAGCATGACAATTTATTAGCAATGACATTTAAATGATATTTCCACTCATAGAGAACTTTGTGACCTGTATCAGGAGGTAGGTTATATGGAGTAACAAACAATCTCAAATTTTAAATGGCATGCAACTACCAAGATTCATTTCCTGCTCCTGCTACTGGGCCTTCAGACCTGAGATGGAGGGAATGGAGGGGGAGAGAATTTGCTCATTGTTATCACTATAAGACTCAGGCTGAGTGGGGAACACCACCACAAATGTTAGTCACCACGCCAGAGGAAACAGAGAGGTCTGGAAAGTCTTGCACCAGCAATGAAAGGTTTGGCCCAGAAATAACAGGCATCAGTTCCACTCTCAATTCATCCAGAATTACTGACATGGCTTCTCAGCCACAAGCCCTCAGGAAGTTCAATTTTTTCACGTACCCAGGATGAGCGAGAACCAGAAATGTTTGCAAACAACACTAATGACAACAGCCCTTCCACCCCCGTCACATCATCACATGTTACTTTGAGGAAACCTTTTATCTTTATTTCCAACTTGAAGGTCAAATAATTCTATTAATATATTCAAATTTGTGTTTTGTAACAATAACAATTAATATTCTTTCTAACACCCTATATATTCTTGGAACTGCCATCCAAACTTCTTGGACCTTTGGGTCTTCAGATGTAGGTTTTGATGAGGACTAGACACATTTGCTTTTGTTACCAGTAATCTCGAATTGAGCATCATTGGTATTTGTGCAAAGTCTGATAAATGGGGGCCTGTGTCTCTTAAGACCGAAATTAAGATATCATTGGTTTTTATATGTTCTCTAAGTTCTAAAATATCATATGATATATAGATACTTGAGATGTATCAAACAACACAACACAAGGGCTAACTAGCTTAGAATTTCTTTAAAAGTACATGGTTTTAATCTCTGAGAATTTTGACAATAATATATATAGTTGTATACAAAGTATAAAAATATAGAATAGATAATTTTATAATAATTTGTATCACTCTTTACAATAGAGTTTTTGTTTTTGTTTTTTACTGAGGAAGATTCACCCTGAGCTAACCTCTGTTGTCAATCTTCCTCTTTTTGTATGTGAGCTGCCACCACAACATGGTCACTAACAGACGAATGGTGTAGGTCCGCACCTGGGAACCAGACCCAGGCCACTGAAGCAGAGTGTGCTGAACTTAACCACTAGGCCACCAGGGCTGGCCCTACAATAGAGTTTTACTTTCTGGTCTCCATGCTTACTCTAGTTTTCCCCCTGGCCTATACTCTATCAATGTGAATATTTTAACACAAATTCAGATTGTATTGTAACCATCATAGACCAATTCATCTGGTCCTATTGTATCCTATTGTATCAATAACAAAATGTCAATCAAAGTTGTTTTGTGGGGCAATGACCAAAAACTGCAAGTTATGCAGCTAGAGCATGCTCAGAAGATGGAAACCTTGTCCTCAGGTCACCATGAGCCACCCAGGAACCAAAAGTTCCCTAACTACAGAACTCAATGTGAAGAGAAAGCAGAATGGGGAGTCTAATAAGAGGCAAGGCGTCCCTTGATTTGTAGCACTCCAGGCTTATAAAATTGTTACACTCCCACCCTCCAATCAGATTCCACCGTGTTAGCATTTTGTATGACCACTCCCACTCCCAACCCCTTAAAAGTCTGTCCCCCTTTCCGCTCGGGGAGACAGATTTGAGTTTTGCCTCCTATCTCCTTGCTGGTGAGCCATGCAATAAAGCTCTTTCTTCTCTCAAAAGCCAGCACCATAGTTTTGGCTTCTATGTGCATCTGGCAGTGAGCCCTTGCTCTGTAACAATATCATTCCGTGTTCACAACCTTCCAATATCTCCCAAAAGACTTGGAATAAAAGCCAAAGTCCTTACCATGGTTTCATATCTGGCTACATTTCTAATTTGTTATTGTATCACTTCCCCATTTTGGGCTCACCGGAATTGAATCATGTGGCCTCCTCCAGGGTCATTGCACTCACCAAGCACGAGCCTCATGACCTCTGCCCTTGCACGAGCCTCATGACCTTTGCCCTTGTTGCCCCTCTGCACTTTTCCCATGGGTCTTCACATTAGTCCCTCCTTCACTTCATTAAAATCTTTGCCTAAAATTCAAAAGATCCATAGAGAGACCTCCTCAACCAACCGTTCATTTCCTATTACTTTCTCCCACTTTTCTTTATAGGGTGTGTCATTGACATTATACTATATATTTATTCATTTATTCTTCCCCCTAAAATGAAAGCTTCATGAAAGTAAGGATTTTGTCTGTTTTAGTGACTGCTGCATTCACAGCACCTAGAATAACAGGACCCAACGGGACTTCGAAGATTCATTCAACAAAGTCATTTTAGAGAAACTCAAATCTAAAAGAAAAGTCCAGAAGGCAAGAATGTTTTTTTCCCAGCACCGTAAACCATACACCTAATCAAGTCTAACAATAACTATCTGTGGTTGAAATGAATGAATAAACGCCTAAATAAGAAAAGAATGAGTGTTCCTGATCCTTAAAATATGAAATAAAATATTTTTCCCAGCTAATACCTTCTAACTGCATGCCGACCAGGAAAAAACAAAAAACTAAAACCATGCAATTGGAGGAAGCCTGGCAAAGCTTTGAAGGGCATAAAGAGATTAAAAATTTGAAATTACTCATCTCTGGTCTAACCTATAAGCAGAGCAGACCTGAAAAGCTCTTAGTGGAGCTAGTCTAATCCTGTAATTCAACATTGTTGAATTCTTTTGAAGAAACGACTTGAAATTCATCTGATATCATAGCCAGAACCTAGATGAGAAGGAAATTCCTGGTGTACGTGCCCCTCCTCCCTGTTCTTCCACCATGACAGAAAATGCTCATAATCATAGTGTTCTTTCTCTTCAAACCCAAACTCGGCCCCAGAATCCTCAGCCAGGTTCTCGTAGAAGCCATAACTGTCAGTACTATAGATGACATTTATTTGTCGTTGTTGCTTCTATTAGTCAGTCTTAAGCAAAATTATCAGACACTGAGAAAGCACAAATTATTACTTTTTTCTGTACCTAAAACAAAAAATATAGAATCCAGACTTCAGTATAGGCAAACCTACAATCCAGAAATTAGTCTTTATTACTTTATCTCCATATTGGTGGATAAAGAGTTATCTTCATTTTGGGAAACACGAGACCCAAGATTTTTGTGGAGGAAAGATGATTACTCAAAAAGAAAGATTAAACTTCAACTCTTGAATACATCTCCTTAGATGTTTCAGATCAAAGCTGTGAATGTGACACGTATTCAAGTCCATTCAAATTCATAAGTATGTATTGAATGTCCGCTGTATGGAAAATGTATTCCCTGGTAGAAATAGGTTATTAAGAGATGAAAGAAAACTAATAGATCCCGAATAGCAACTATATTCAGAGATCACATTTCATAATATAAGGGGCCTGATAGAAATCCCATCTTTCAGATGTGACCAATCCAAAATTCCTAATAACTAAGCCAGGTCTATTCTACAGTTTATTTTTGAAACTTCTTTGGGAAAAAATATGTCAGTAAGCAAATTTGCAACATAAAGGCAAATATAAACAGCATTTCTAACCTACGTAAGAGAATAATTTTCAAGGACTCCAGCAACATTCATTAAGTACCAACAGTAAATGTCAATTAACAACAAGTCTTATCTATCCATTAAATCTGGTCCAGCAGGATCTACATTTTTGGCAAGATAATTAGAAATTTATTCAAGATAACATAGCAACTTGAGAACACCAGATATTTTGGATTTTTCAAAAATTCATTGCTCAGATTTTCTACTAACGTACCTTGCCTCTTCCCCCTGTGACTTTGGACTGATGAGGTGGATCTGTACAGAAGAAAGTTTTAAACATATATTGAGTCTTTCAGTTACCAAATCACTAAGAACTTTCTGCCATAGGAAATTGTCATTTAAATAGCCAAGAGGAGTCCACAATGCAAAATGAAGTCCTGTCCTGCCATCTAGAGGACGCACACTAACTGCCTAGAAAACATTTTAACTCTTAATGGTCCTTGAAAAATAAAGGGAGATATTCTGTTAAAAAAAAAAGGGGGGTGGGGGATTTAGGAGAGAGCTTGTATATTTTTCTCTATGACACTATCAGATTTCACCACACACAGAGAAGAAAATAATTTATTTGAAAAAGTCCTTTTTAAAAAGTATGGATTAGATACGTACACAAGTTGAGTTTTTACATCTTGCCAAATTTGCTTCGCCCCATCTGGCCTCCAAAGCCTTGGCCACTTGCAAATGCAGAACCACAGCCACAGCTGCATCTCCTAAGAACACTAGCTTGGCCACTGCAGGGCATCAGCACGGCCTTCGTTGTGCCTGCCATGGTGGGGTAATCATAGTTATTTTGGGCACCCACGTTTGACCTAACTAGACTCAATCTGTCAATTGTTCAAATATTTCTGATGATATTCTAACTTGACTCTCCCCAAATAACTCATCCCAGAATTCCTAATATTTTAAGATATAGGCTCTCCCAGCATTTGCCCGTGTTCCTCTCCTGATACCCACATTTAAACGCCTCTAGGGGCCGGCCCGGCAGCACAAGCGGTTGTTAAGTGCGCGCTCCACTGCAGCTGCCTGGGGTTTGGCGGTTCAGATCCCAGGCGCGCACCGACACACTGCTTGTCCAGCCATGCTGTGGCGGCATCCCATATAAAGCGGAGGAAGATGGGCACGGATGTTAGCCCAGGGCCAATCTTCCTCAGCAAAAAGAGGAGGATTGGCAGGTGTTAGCTCAGGGCCGATCTTCCTCACAAAAAAATAAATAAAAATAAACTCCTCTAGAGTTATTTGCTAAATGTCAAATGACAAATAGAAGAAAAAAGGAGGAGAGAAGAAGAAGGAGGAGGAGGAGGAAGAGGAGAAGGAGAAGAGCAACAACAAAACAATAACAACAAGAAAGAACGAGGAGAACAAGAAGAGGAAATAAACCCCTCAACTTCTTCTGTGACTTGGGTTGACTGACTGGCAGCTTTCCCCAGCGCACAGCAAGGAGCAGGAGGGGGCAGGCCAGAGAAAGAGCAAGACAAGAAGGAAGGAGAGAAAGAAGAGAAGCGGAAGGAAAAAGTGAAGAGGAAGAGAGTCAAGAGAAGGATGAGAAAGGAGAGAAGGAGAAAGAAGAAAGAAGAGGATGAGAAAGAAATGAAGAAAAAAAAGAAAAGAACTCCTAGAGCCTCTCCTTTGCTAACTACACATTATATTGTTAATGCTTCAGCTGAAACCATCTTTTTGGGATTGTTTTCAATGTAATGTTTCAGTCCTATGTTTAAGACTTTCAAAATTACCTTATCTAATATATACCCAGTGTTAAACAGTATTACAAATTGCAATGTGGCATTTTACATTTACAAAGTACTTGTTTTTCAGAGTATGTTACAACGTTTTATATATATATATATATATGTATTTTTTTTAAATCAGAAAACAGATGGCTATCCCATATACTCAAAGAACTTCATAACTGAAAGGGACAGTAAAGATAATCTACTTCAATCTCTTCATCTGTTAGTAGAAGAAACTGAGGTGAAGAGAGATTATACAACCAGCTTATATAGAATTTCCCGTGGAATATCTGTACTATAATCGTGGATACATGACATTATGCATTTGCCAAAACCCCTAGAACTGTGCAACACAAAGAGTGACCCCTAATGTCAACTATAGACTTTGAGTGATAATGATGTGGCAACATAGGTTCACTGATTGTAGCAAATGTACCCGCACTCTGGTGCAGGACTGATAGTAGGGAAGGCTGTGCGTGTTGGGGGAAGGAGTATATGGGGAATCTCTGTGCTTTCCACTCTATTTTGCTGTCAACCTAAAACTACCCTTTAGAAAAAAATCTATTAAAGAAAAAAAAAAGGAAAAGGTACCCCTGGCAACATTTAGGTTCTACATTCCATTATACTTGCTTACTAAGAATGTATAAGACTTTTACCTGCACCCAGGGTATTCCCAATCATTCCACTTGT